TAATACTAGATATTGTATATTGTTTAATTTATTCTTTATTAGATTCATATACACGTCTCAGTTCTCTATGCACAATTTTATGTATCGATCAACAATTGAAATCTCAAATCATATTTTTAGTCGTTTTTAATTTTACAATAAATTTTTCTTTATTTTAATTCTCTTTTTTAACTTAACATACAAATCTTATTCCATAAAAATATCTTAGTATTTTATTACCGTAATAAAATTTAATAAAGGGTTTCATGCCTTACCTGTCTTTAGTATTCATTGTTAAAAATAAACGACAATCTTTGATAGGACTGTACAATTCTCTTGTTTAGTTTCTGTAATGATGGAAAGGTGAAGATTACAATTATTGGACGAGCGAACTATATTTATTTTGCAAAACGAAGTCTCGTTCAATTTTCTTACGGTCGTTATTTAAACAATTACAGAGCAGTAAATTTATTTGGAGCATATCAGTAGTATATATAGAGGGATTCTAACTGTAGTCCTCTGCGGGCCGTCATTTGGCGCGGGGAAGGGAGGGGAAAGGCGCGGAGAAGGCCCCAGCGCTATGGGTGTTTACCGAAATTGGTCGCGTTCAGCAGACTCAACTGTTGTGGAGCAGATCTGTGAGCGCTCGCTGCTGTTGGTGTATTCTTCTAGATCATCCAATAGCAGCGAGCGCTCACGGATCCTCTCCACTACAGTTGAGTCCGCTGAACGCGACCATTAATGATACATGTCGACATGTTGTGACATCACGTATCATTGGGGACCGCCGCCGCTGCTGCTGTCACTTCTTAGTATTATTTCTTTTATTTAAATTATTTGAGCCATACTTTATTATGTATTTTTAACTTTATATTGTTCCACTTTTTTTTACGGTTTTTATTATTTTTCAGAGAAGCATTTGCGAAAGAATATATTGCATAATGTCGTTGAATTGTAAAAAAAAGTATGAAAATTGTATGTTATATTAATATGGGTAATAATTACACAATTTAAATATGTATTATTTATAGTGGAAATATTTAAAACAGTGCGATTTTATAAAAATGAGTATTTTTATCTCTAATTGTATAAATATATATTAATATCAGGCGGAAAGTTATAATAGAATATTTTATAGTTTTTATGCATGGAGAAAAATAATTTATTGGCAGAGTAGATTTTATGCTACTATATTGTAATAAAATCTATCAGTTACTATATGTAGACTGCAAAGGGATTTGTTAAAAGTACTGATTGCTATTTGCTGGATATAATTTAGCTAAAATTACAAATTATTTATAGTTTGTGTTATCACATATACGGTCCTATAATATATTATACAAATTATTTTACTGTAAGAATAAATGAATTTTTGTTTAATCAACTAATCTTTTTTGTTGCATTACCAATACGATTTGCTACAAAAGCAAAGCACATTTGAAGAACTAGCAAGATGATTTTGTTCTACAAACAATTCATTCGAACTGCACCAGCGAATCAAATTTGCTATTGTAGCAAGATATGTTTACTAAATTAATGACATATTTTGATTGTATAAACGAAATAATTTTGCTACAAGAATATACGAAATCTGCTGGACAATTGGGAAATGCCTGAAGAAATTATTTCAAAATTAATACATTTTTTAAATACTTCTCTTGATTAGGCAACAAACATGATCAAGAGATATATTAAAAAAATGTATTAACTCTTACAATACAAGGTACAATTTGATGCTTCATATATTCATACAAACTGGGTCACTAGAATCCGTTCGTTTTTTTAACCTATTCAGAATAGTTCAAAAAATCTCTAAAAATTCACCAACATACTTTCAACTTTTTAGAATAAATATTGAAATTTCATTTTGTATAAAATAATAAAATGTGGTCTAATTTATAATTACCGAAAGACTCTTGCATGAACAGGAATCGATCGGTCACTAGTGATTCTACTTTGTACGGTAAGAGTTAATTTTGAAAAAATTTCTTCAGGCATCCCCCAATTGTCCAGCAGATTTCGTATCATTATGAATACACGTTGACGTTGAATAAAGTGTAACAGAAGTATATAACGTGAATAATAGGAAAAATGAAAATAAATGCGATAAAATATTGAAAGATCACTCGCGACAATACGTTTATGGATGTTTATGAACAGTGACGTTATAATAACAGAAGACTCCAGAAAGAAGACGAGAGTCATTCAAGAATACGCAGAATAGAAGGCGCATCCTAACAAATCAAGTTTTGCTGCAATAACACAAATCGAATACAATAACAAATTTCTTTTGCTGTCGTAATGGATTTGAATGAATAACAGTAATTTTGCTCCAATAATAAACAAAATTTGCTAAGAACACATTATTTTGCTTTAATAGCAAATTAACTTTGGTTCTAAAGACAAATACACACAGCAAATTTTTTCTATCTTAGCAACAAAACAGATTCTCTAATAACATAATTTCTAAAAGTGGTTGTATATTAATTAAATTTTATCGCTGCCATTACGAATATACAGTAGCAATTATAAGTTTGCTACAACAGTCAAATTATTTTTCTCCGTGTGGATCTTAAAATTATCTGCTATAATTATTGTAATTTTACATGTAATTTTTATACAGTATAGGCAGTATAAGAGATTTTATATTATATTATTAAATTATTTTATTTTATATTATTAAAGTTTATCAAATATTCGCAGTAAATCAAATAATAAATTGACTGAATTAATATATTTAATGCAATGGAAAATGTACAATACAAAACATTAATATTTAATTATTTATAATATTTAATTACTTACGTCTTATTAACTGTCGTGTGTGGATTCTAATATCGGCGACGGATATTGACAGTACGGATACTGGTATCGTTTAATTGGAAATGGATATTAAAATACTTCTGTGCAATATATTATTAAATTGATATATCTAAAATAAAAACACTTTCATTATATAATAAAGTATATTATAGGACCGTATATGTGATAACACAAACTATAGAAATCAAAGCCTTAAACGGTCTAGCTGGATCTTAATGCTTGTATGATTCTTATGTGAATCTATATACTACATGTGTAGTCCCCAGAAACTTTCATTATCTATTTCGAGCGGTTGCAATCGATTGAGCACACTTAGAAGTTGATTCCCTTATTGACTTTCCGATAACATCGATCTGACACATTTCTCCGGTTCGCGTAAAGGTGGCACGTCTATGTCTCGCGCCTAGGGATGGGACATCGAATTAAATGTATCGATATTTCGTATCGATGCATATCATTATTCACTATATCGATACATGGAAAATATCGAACCTATTGTATCGATATTGAGAATATCGATACAAAATATCGACATTATCAAAATTTTTTATATTAGGAAATAGGATCATAATAAAGTTCAGGTAATAAAATTGTGTCAAAACTTTGACTTCATTATATATATATGTATATATACATTATACAATAATATCTTATAATATATTGAATATATTAGTCTAAATGCCAGTAACGTATGTCAAGAGAACTTAAAAATAATAACTGGCTCAAATGTTTACTCGAAAGAATGGTTAGTGCCTATCACCTTTTGTTTGATTTTAGATGTTATGCTGACTGCAGACCAACGCGATGTTTGTCGCGTGCAAAACGCGATATCCAATGAGCGTATAGCTTTAGAATGAGAACATCGGTAAAGCTGTACGCTCATTTGATATCGCGTGTCATGCGCGACTAACATCGCGCTTGTCTGCAGCCGGCATCAGAGTTTGATTAGAGTTTGATTTTAGATTTGGTGTTCAATATATCGTAATTCGATATTGAAGCATCCCGTATCGATACTGTTAAATATCGGTAGAAAAAATATCGAAATATCGGACTGTAAAATATCGATATTCGAAATATCGATACTGTATCGCCCATCCCTACTCGCGCCATAGTTTAGCGCCGAAGCATAGTATTTTTATTTATACGTATACTAGTGTAGCAAATTTCTTAATTTCTACTGTATAATTTCATAGTGTCCATTCGTCTGTCTGTAAACTTTATCAAAAAGGGTTTAATTTTTTCAAATTCCGTTTTTGTAATAAATACCAGAGGACTGCAAACTTTACAGTTTTACAGAGGCAAAATATGAATCAAATAAGTTAAACTGTAAAGTGATTAAAGGTCAATGCCAATAAGATTTTCAGTAATATAGGGCAAACCGAATGGCTTAACTTTTTCAAATTTTGGTTTTTTTATTGCACTACTTTGTTATACGTGTTGCAACTGTTTATTTTATCATTTCCATTGTCTAGCCTCGATATTGATGAGCACCGATGTTGGGAAAAAGGGGAAGATCATTTCATTGCAGTTGTGTAATGGCGGCAATGGTGAAATCACCGATGCCGCCGAGAAAAAGGGGAAGACCCTATTGCAATCTATATAATATTATCGTTATCGATTATTCGAGTGTTTTTAAAACATTATTAACTATTACTTGAATTACTCAACATGTATGATTGTGTAAAAGATAAGATCGAGAAACATTAGATTATGGATAAATGATGATTTACTGCACCGTCGAATCTTATAATTTGATTAGTAAAATAGTCGTTTCACACATTAAAATTTGAACATGATTATAACGTAATAATTGCAAGCTTTCCCTTTCTTTACCGATCTTTGAAAGTAATTGTACTTTGAAAGAAATGTGTTACAAGCACAATTTGTTGTAAGAAAACATACGTATTCTTTTAATTTGCTTGCGCAGTAATTTTTGTCAGGTACGCATAAGGAGTGACACCTTTTAATTAAACCTTTTGAATAAGTGTAAGCGATCTTTCTCGTTGTTTCGCGACTCGGGAGGTTGCGGAAACGTACATATTAATCTGCATATCATCGCGAGCATCGCGATGTAATTTTAAACCGTGCTATTCTCCCCAAGTGCAACATTACACGGCAAAGTGGCTAACGTTACGGGAAACCGAGTCGTGACGGCGCAATTTCCTTCGCGTTTATATCCTAGACGAGGAACAAAAAGCCTCGCGGGAAAATCGCGTTCACGTGAGGTGGCCGGCAGAAGTAGTCCGCGCGAAAGTCGATGCACTTTTACGCTGCGCCGGTAGTGATGTATAAGTGATCCTGTACACGATCGAGGAAATGCAGAGTCAGTTGTAATGCGTAATCGTAGTTACTGCACTGAGAACAGCGTGCTGTACGGTGTATAATATTACGACACCATCGTGTGTATACACAACTCTCCGGATCTTCTCTAGAATTTTAAAGCTTTTTCACGATGACATAAATGAGGCAGAAAATGAGAAATCCACATAATGAGATGAAAAATATCATCAATATATTTTGATGTATAAAATAATGAACTTGTGCAGCGTTTATATTACAATTTTTCTCTTTATTAAATTTTTTTCTTTTATTCTCGGATTAATTATATAGTTAATGTTACAAATAATAAAAACAGATTTTCTAATATTTTTAGTTCTATTTATTATTGTTACTTATTATTTTATTACTTTATTTTCTCTTGCCTTATAATTAATTATTAAACGCGAGTTGTCACACACATTCACGTTTATATTTATATTTTTACATACAAGAGCGAACGGAAATTAAATGGATAATTATCTGTGTTATTTTGTTATAACGGATTTTCGAATGCCGATAACATAAGTTTCTTTGTTCTATCGCGTAACATGCAGTTTTGTTATAGACGTTCTTCTTTTGATGAAAGTTAAATTTATAACTTCGCTGTAGATAATAAAGTTACTTTAATGATGAATTTAACCGCACTTTTTGCGATGTACTTTATAAGAATTCTAGGAATTTACCTTCAGATATTACGTAAAAGAAAGTAATAATTTCGTTGAATTATTTTAGTCTATTTATGCGATATGACGGACATGACTATTAACAACTTTCTCGTGGATCGATATATTATTGTTACTAGCGCAATTAGGAAAAATCACGCGGACCGACTAGAACTTCCAGATAATGCGACCATTTTCTGTAGTTTAAGATTAAATGGTCAAGTTGAGAGAACATAAAGCTGTGGCTTGTGGTTGATATCAGTAGAAATTTGATCGATCTTAAGTTAGTATAGGAAAGAAAGTAGTAAAAATTGAAACATCTCTAGAATTATATCAATTAAGTCCTTTAAATCAAATATAACAATTTCGATACGATTTCCAAAAGAGGAAAAGAGAAAAAGATTATACAATAACTTATGAAACTGATATGATAAAATGTACTATACAATTATATATAATAATCATTGATTACGTACAACTGATTCGAACAAAACAATCGACGACTTTTTAGTATCAGTATAACGTCAATATAAATAAATAAATATCTATGATCTTTGTTAACAAATGTATTTTTGTTTACGAATTTCAAAAAGAATTTTGTAATAATGATACGATTTGATTAATTTCGCAAGTCAATGTATAAAGTTTGAATATTTTGAATAGAGTAAATGCATATACACATACAAATATAGAGGTAAATAATTTTAATAAAAATAAAAATGCTTTGTTTATTAGTTTATAGGATAAATGATATTGTATTATATTAATAATTATTCGAATGGAGTAAATACGTTGGTTTTCCGCCATTTATTTTAATAACGTTAAAGGTTTATTTTAGTTTTGATAATATTGACTTAAACTGATAAAAATTTATACATATCTAATGAATATATATAGATAAAAATTATAATTTATTTTTCTTAAACAAAAATCAGTGTACGTAGGATATTATACTTTTTGCCAAATACTTTTGAATAGGCATGGTGAATAAAATATGAATAGTATTATGTAAATTAACAAATTTGTTTGTGATGAATTGGGCGATTACAAGTTTTATTGAAGCTCTTCTTGGAAGATTTAACTGCGAGTAAGAACATCGGTAGGGCTATGCAAAAATATCGTAGATTACCTTGAATTGCGAGCCAATTAGAACCGTCCAATTATACCGATTTATTATAGTCCACACGCTCTTTTCACTCTTTAGGGTTATTACCTCCGTATTTCGGATCGATAGCATGGCGATTTACTTGGCCGCTCGGCTAACCTCGGATTTATTTATTACCATTTTGCACGTATAAGAATTAAAGCGCAATTTAGCCAATTATTTCTAATTATAATAATAGATATAGGTTTTTACAGGCAGTTATTAAGTTATCGCAAAGAGTTATATGAAGAAGAATTATATAAAAAAAAATATTATAACCTACAAATTCTAAGGCTGTATTAAGTAATGTCTTAAGATGTTGTCTGATTAGTTCATGACATCTTAAGACTGTACTTAAGATAAGATTTTTTAAATATAAGATTCGAGTATGAATATCGGCCTAAAAGGAAAAAATAAAAAGTTGATTATGTTTGTGCAATTAAATTTCTATAATGAAAAACATACAAATATGCATAATATCAATGATTACATAATTATTTAATTAAATAAATTCGTAGAAAGAAAAGATAATCCATGATTAATATTACTATAAAACGATGTTAATGAATAACGTTTTTACAAATTCATTACATTTATATTTTGTGGAATGTAGAATGGTACAGTAGATAAAACAAAATTATATAAACTTTAATCGGAGAATAATTCTATAAATGAAACAAGTAATTTATTAATATCATTATACGATTAGCGTTCTGCATTAATTAAATTGGTACTGAAATTTTTTCATTTGATTACACAGAATGAAAAATGCATTCGATATATATGTTTTTTTTTATCTCTTGGAATTTTTTTTTGGAGGTCATAATCTTACTTTGCTTATCTTACTAGTTACTACGAAGGTAATTTTATCAATAGAACATAAACATTCTACGTTTTGACATTAGTAATATTAACGTTAACAATTACGTGCAAACAAGTGGAATTATCGAGATATACGATAGAAAGAAGCGCTTTTTT